TGGTAAATACACCGTTTTTAAGAAATGTGTTTCCAGTTGAACATTTGAAAACAAATTCGTATGTCTGACTGTAGCCAGTGCTGCCGAAAGTACTATGATGGTAGTTTTTTACTACTATTTTGCGAGATAGTTGACATTTTTATAAAAATGTATAAAGTAACTCAAAAATATCATATTGAACATTGTTTGAACGCTCTTCTTGGAATGATTTGCGATTAACTTTTCCTTTCATCGAGAGCTCACTTTGTGATCAAGTTTCTTAAGTCATTTTACGGAATTTTAAAACTTATAACCACAGTGATGCATTTTTATTGGGTATAAACTCTTCCCCTTTTAACTCTTGGAGAGAAAGCTCTTTTGTTGGTCCGATCTAACGCTAAAACGCATGCAGGAAACAGCACTTAGGTCATACTATACTTGAGGAGGTGGGACCGAACCACAAAGATTCGCCTGCCATCTCATCTTCACCAAGACAGGAAATGAAATAAGGTTCTTATATATGCCCACCGCAATCAGAGGTTTGCGCTTTGAGAAGCCACCACTTAGCAATTCCAAAAGTTGTCTGCAGACGTACTTGATTAATGAAGCAGCCAGTCGAAGCCTCCCAACCATTGCTGAATGCTATACTGCTTGTGGGCTAAGAAATGCCTGATATGAGTCGTTTTTAACCAAATGAGCAGGAATTCCCGTGTGACCTACCACTTATGAGTATATAGAGTAATACCAGTTCCTTATATGTATGTATTTACCAGCAAAAGTTTGCTGAGACTTTCATTGCTCCGTTTGGAAGTACCTACCAATTATTTTCCATAATGTTGTCCATGTCAGTTTTTTTCCAAATGCAAGTTTTAGAGCCATCCGTAAAAAATCAACAATATGTAGGTAACTAAGCAAAAATCAGCCACACCAAAATCAACGTTGTAGAATCTTTTCAACAATTGTGGAAGCGTGCTGTCCTTGGGCACTGAGAAACACATCTACATCTCTGCCTTCAAAATATTTCAACTCAGTATACTCTGTACAATAACGCCACCTATTTGTTGTATGGTTTTAATTTGATCGAGGATTTATACAAACATCTGGACCATACTCCTCAAAATATAAAAATATTCCCCAAAAGTTATGTTTTTTACTACCCTAAAAAACAGAAAACGGCAGCACTGTGACGGAGCCCATGCCATTTTTCTCAAAAATGTTTTTGTTACATGTATTCAGTAAGAACAAGTAAAGGGTTCAAATACCATCAGAGGCAACGTGTTAAAATGATACTAAATTTTTTTTTGTATCTCCGAATTATGAAAAAGCATCTGTGAAGTGCCTTGTAGGTCCCTCTGCTTTGTGTGACAACATCAACGCGCACGCCAAAAATCGGAGGAGAAGCTCATCCAAACACTAACATATGTGTAAGCGCCAGTCTATTATAGTATTATTATTATCTGTGAAGTGCAGAACATAAGTGTATTCAAACGAAAAAATTTACAACCAAAAGTTTGGTTAATGTAAACAAAAGTGTGGTTAATATTACCAAATCATTGATGAAAATATCAACCAAGGAGTTGTTAATATTAACCAAAAATCAAGTTGATTCCTTTTCAAGTTTGAATTTGGTAATATTTATTAGCCAATTTTTGGTTGCTTTTTTCTCAGTGAAAACAAAGTTTTAAGTTAAATAGTAAAGAAAAGCTAAAAATTATGCAGATAATGTACAAAACTTGGTAACTACCTAATTATTTTTACGCTTTTAGTACATTATCTACATCGTTTTAATATTTTCTTTACAAGAAAACCATTTAACTTAAAATTTATTTTTTGCTTTATTTTCAAGTTTTTAGTTTTAACATTTTATTATAACTGTGGGGGAAGAATGGGTTCACCGCTCACGACGTACTATTTTTAGCCGCCCAACGCCACACAGCCCTGGACACGATACGAAATCTCGACTTGGGGGGGAATTTCGTTTGATTAGATACTTATTCTACCTATCATTTGACACCCATATTTACATAGGGGGTTGTAAAAAAATATTTAATCAGCCATTTTGTGGTGGCGGCCATATTGGATTTACATTGATGCAGAATATATGTACATGAGGATATTAGGTTTGCTCCACACAAGCCCGCGGGATCCCGTGAACAAAAAACGTAAATCTATAAGAAGAACCAATACGTTATAATTGTAGCGAGTGTGAACATCAGGAGCGTTCCTTCTCTTTTCATCCAATGGAAAAACGTTTTTGGGCAAAAGAGAAGCCACGCTCCTGATGTTCACACTCGCTACAATTATAATGTGTTGTCCCTTCTTATAGATTTACGTTCTTTACCGCGGGTGACCAAAACAGCTCAGAAAGCGTTCCTCACTAGAGGTGCAAAACTATCGATAGTCAGGCCATCGATAGTTTTCGGTATTATTTTCAAAACTATCGATATATCGTCGATAGTATCGTATTTATATGGTTTTGGCTCAATTTTTGTATGAAGATTTCCTTAAGAATATATTCCGAAATTACGTTTCGATAACCTTGTAAACTGCTGACACTTCTTTAATTGTTTAACCGTTAAGTTAGAAGTAAAGTTATTGAAAATTTAAATTGAATTGAAATGGAATAAAATTGGGCGTACTGAAATTTTATATTTGTGGTTTTCGGTATCCTCCGTCATATATGTATAAGGCATTCATTAAGTAAATTTCAATTTTAGAAGAAGGAAACATTTTTTATCTGAGAGGTAATGGTTTTTATCTACCTTTTATTAAATAGTAGATAGATAATATTGAAAGTTTTGGTATAAATTAATTTGTATCAGTTTTTTAGCAGTATTTTAAAAGATGCAAGGTTTTCCGTCATTTTCGAAATTTGACATTACTCTTTTAAAAAAGTAGCAACCAAATTTTTAGTTCAACTTGGATATTTAAGAGAAATGAAAAGAAAAGAAGAAATAAAACTAAAATAAATACTGAATCACATGTCTGTCGGACTATCGATAGGACCAAAAAACAATCGATAGTAGGGAAAAATAAAAAACATCGATACTATCGATAGTGCCATCGATAGTTTTGCACCTCTATTCCTCACGCTTGAAAAATGGGAAACAGAAAGCGAATGCCTTCCACTTTTAGATCGTAAATGTCTTCTTCTTCGAGCCCGAAACAGTCCGGACTTTTTTCCGGGCAGAAATTATTATTAATTATTATTATAAAATAAATACACGCAAAGTCATTATTTAGAGCTGATTTGTTGATTCCGGGCACGAAATGTAGTTTTTTGCGTCCCTCACGTTCTGGGCACTTTTGGCACATGTTGACATATTTTTTACACTTGTGAGAGAATAACTTATTTTAACGCTCTAATTACCGAAACAGCGCGGAATGCGTGTCACCAGAACTAAAGGTGTGTACCAAATTTCAGATCAGAGATGCGACCCGAAAACAAAAATACACAAGCTAAATAAAACCGATTAAAAACGATGACTTGGGTGAAAGTGTTAGTGTGAATTTCATTACACCTAAAGTTATGTTTACATTATAAGAGGCTTTTAGTTGTACGTAGGTGGACATTTCCATCAATGATGCAAAACATGTTGCTGACAAAAAGTTGCCAATTGTAGATAAGTAGTAAGCATCAGAACGTCCATAAATACACGTGTATATGGATTGTCTTCATGTAGGAATGTCCCAGCAGAAAAAAATTATCAATTAATAAAAAATAACCAACTTGTAGTTTTTTGTAGTTGCAACTTTTTTTCGGGATTTCTAAAATCTATATAGCTTGTAGTTAGCTACAAAAAACTAACTTGAAACCAGTTGAAAAGTAAGGCAGGAGTAATGCAGACGTAATCGATAGATTGTTTTCTTTAAACAAGTTTCTATTTAAATATCTATACTTTCTTTCTACACTTCACAAATACTTTTTCGACATGAGCACAAATAAAAGGAAAATCGAAATTTTACATTATCATTTTGAAGTTATGCCTGACGAAGTTCGGATATGGGACCACCTACAGGAGAATATGTAAACAAATATGAAATGTAATAAAATCTATGGCGATGGCCGCGAAATAGTCAAGGGTGTAGTTACCTCTTCATTAAATTTCCACTAACTTGTATGTAACTATTTATTTTTGGACATTAAATATCAATAAGAAAAACAAATAACAAAGTAAATAAAAACGCAAAAGGGGGAAAAAACAAAAAAATTATTTAGTTTTTCTTATTGATATTTTATGTCCAAAAATAGACCCTTCACTATTTCGCCGCCATCGCCATAGAAATAGGGTTAACTTTGCTCAAAGAGAATATACGGATAATAGTGACCTTTAGTTCCTTCCTAATCAACTTCAAGTTAATTACTTATAGTTAAATACACTTCCCGCAGGGGTGTATCATGCTACGTACATACGTACATACCTATATGCATATATACTGAGATTATTGTACTTAGTATGTGCGCATTTATAATACAAAATTATCGGATAATTCAATTTAAATATGTAAATACCGACATTTATGTGTGCGTATGAGCGTTTGCATTCCATACATACTCCGTTCATGTACAATGGTGCGGGTACTTGCTTTCATTCATTCAGTAAATTGACGATTTCAGGCTCATTCAATTACATTCGGTTTATTTTTGTCGTTCTCGACGTCGGTAATTTTAATTTGAGCATCATAATCACCGGGGCAACTACTGCTGTTGCTAATTTTTTGATGCTTATATTTTCCTTGAACGTGCCTCAAAGTGCTCTTTAGGCTATTTAAATTTTTTTTTTGCACAAAAAAGCAAAGATGGAATAGTTATAAGTTTGTAGTTATACAAGCTTTGAATTTGTGCTTCTTAACATTTATTTTTGTATGGGAATAGAGAATGAAAATAAATTTGTGTATAATTTTACTAATTAGATTTTTGCTTCAAGTGAAATTATCATTTTTTATCAAACACAACGCCACTGATGCACTGAAATTTTATAAGAGGAAAGTACTCATTCATACTCATTCATAAATCTAAATGGCAACAATAGTGAAGAAAGTAGAGATTAAGCAGGGAATCATTGAGATGGTGATGATTGCGATAATCCTCTCCATTATGCCACAATCGCAGTTCTAATATAAAATCTATAACGCTCAGATCCCATTTTTAATATCAATTATATAAGCATCAACGATTTGCAGGCCACTTTGCCAGTGAGGAGCTTGTAAAGCTTATGAATCACCGCCTAAGCAGATTAAAGTTGGATGTCCACAAGATTGCCGGTATACATACATATGTATGCTTTGCTTAACCCACAAGTAGGGCAATCATGCAGTTACGCCCACTAACTAGGAGGCAATCTTCCTATCGACGATACTTTCGGAAAGACTAAGACCTTTCTTGAACCAACTAATTGGATCTTCTCAATGCCTTCGCTTCGATAAATTTACTTTCGAGCAGGTATTCACCAAACCTTAACCCTTTGAAAATCTGGAAAAAAGTTCAAGAAAGTAACCTCTGAGAAAAGGATCAACATGCACCATCTCCTAAAAGATTTTTAACTCGTTTTAAAAAACTAAAAAAAATATATATATATTTGGCGTTTACACATTTAGCCAAGCTTCTTTCCCAAATTTGTGGTACCCGTCTTGGTGTTGTGACACAATTGAGGACCTACGATTTGACGCCGATTCTGAAATGACTTTATGAGAAGCTTTTTAATGGCAGAATATACTCGGAGGCCGCCAATAAAAACAACTTCTTTATATTGCTGAGACCAGGCATTGAATCATGAACCTACCGAGTAGCAGTGCACATCTCTAACTATTTACTCAACTACGGCAGCTGTTGCTGTAAAAAAATACGTTCGGAAACACCGCCAGTTCCGCAAGTATGTTGTTTTTATTAATTTGCATACTAGTGCTTTTAACGGCTGACATTTAATTAATTAATCCCAACGGTTGACCCTCCTTCCCACCTAACCGACACGAGGGGTGCAGTCGGCATGACATACGGAACTTTTTGTTTTTGGTGCCGAGTCGTGCAAAAGCAGGAGTTAGTTAAGTGTCTGATCTAAAACTATTTAGCTACAGAATCCAATTCATCAACTGACTGGATATGCTAAGGATAGTATTTCGATTATTGAGAGGATATGATAGTTTTCTAAGAGGCTCATACATATACAAGAAAAACACTGCGCGAACAAAGGCAAATTATTCTTATGCGAGACTTTTGACTGGCTCCTTATTAAAATTTACTGTCGTGATAGTGAACGTTACATGCCTCCAGTTTTCCTTGGAAATGGCACCGCTTTCTTTGCCTCGTACGACAACACCTTCTATGCCGCATAGTACCCCTTTGACTAACTCGAACAAGCAAGTATATTTCTCAGACAAATGAAAGATATCGTGACAAATATTGGTTGTGGCGCCTGGTATAGCCTGTTGTTTGGATTTGACTGATACCTTTCAAACCTTCGGAAAAAGAGCTGGTACTTCTTCCAGCCAATCATTTCCCTTCTGTGGCAACTGAAGCCAATTGAAAATGCCAAGTGAAGTCATATCTTTTCTTTCTGGATTATCCATTGCAGATAAGGCCTTCCTATTTTCTTGCTGGTACCAATGGGATCTGAGTTCAATACTTTCAAAACTGGAGTGTTTTTCTCCATTCGTACAATATGGTCAAGCCAGCACTTTGTCTGTGCCGTTGTTAACTTCGTTCAGCTCGACCCTATTGGTGTCGCTGACCTTTTTACTTATACCAATACTTATCTGTGGTGAGACAGGGAGGCGCCATCTCAACGTTATCTGCATCGTAAATGGCGACACGAAGTGTCAGAAAGACTCAGAGGCTTAAAAGTCAGGTGCCACTCATAGAATAGTGCAACTGATAGCTCAAGATCAACAGATCATAAAATAAAAAGGCTGAGTTAGGACCTCTTCCGGGCAGGCGACTGGCAATATGTACATTCCTACAGGTGTTCATATTGTACTAGAGTGCCAGTTACTGTCGAAATTCGACAGTTTTTCTAGTTTTAGAAGCCTTGGAGAGGTTTTCTAACTTAACACGTAGCGATACTTATACGGTACAAATTAACTAACCGGAAAATCTTCTGCTAAAACGTAACAATTTTTTTTTTTATCTGAGAAGGTCTTTGGAGGACTTCGGCAGGACTTGGAATTGACCCGATACATTCAAGTTTACCGATAAATTTCGATGATTTTCAAGAACACTAAAATTCGATAACTCAACAAAATTCGATAACTGTGAAATTCGATGGCTCGATAAATTTCGATAACTCAGAAATTTAAAAACTATGGATACCTTTATGAATTTTTACTGTTGACATCTCCACATTTTTCGAAAACTATCTAAACATTTTGATAACTCGTTACACTCTGTTAAGACGATTAAATTCGATAAGCAGTGATAAATCGATAAGCTTATATAACCTTGAAATTTCGATAAATCGATATATTTTGAAAATTCCATAAACGTTGCTTTGTTGAAGCAACAAAATTTCAGTAGATCAATAATTATCGATAACTCTGTAAGTTGAAAGAAATCCATGCATTACCACACTTCGATATATTTCGTTAAGTCTATAAATAATGATAATTCAATAAATATCGATAACTTGATACATTTCTTTTACTTGACAAATTTCGTTAATCCCACACGTTTTTATAGCTCGATAACTATCTGTAAATTTGGACAACTAAGTTTCTGTGTTTATGAATTTCTACAACTCAGTAAACATTGATCAGTTTGAATAATTCGATACGTTGCGATAACTTAATAAGCATGGATAAATTTCGATAATTATAAACTTCGATGATTCGATAAATTTCAGTAACCTTTATGGCTGATTTTATTTCGATTCCTATCTTTTAACCTAATTCATATGTATTTCTCATTGTCGCCATTTTCGCCTTTATCTCAATTTTCGTCTTTATCTTCACTTTTGCCTTTTTTTGTCTTCATCGTTATCAGTTGTTTCTTCATCTTCATATTTATC